TCTAGCCATCTCAGGAAGCAAAGAACCATTTTAAAATTTTTTCTAAAAATTTAAGGGGTTGCATCGTCAAAATGTGCAAAAATTAAAAAAAATATTTTAATATCTTAAAAAGGAAAATTTGGTATGCAGAATTGTTAAGCGCAAACAACTAACTCAGAACCGCTTTCCGAATTGAAAATTAAGGCATTTTTGACAAAGTTATGCGATTTTTAAACTTTGGTTGTTCCAAAAAATATGATATAGAAAATCCCTTACAAAAAAAATTATCATATAAAAAAATCAATTTTAGGAATCTTGCTGAGGAAAATATCATTTTTTACAGTGAAGGAGCCATTTCCGACCCTATAAATCATATATTCTTGATCAGCACTAACAGGCGAATCGTTCTAGCCATCTCAGGAAGCAAAAGAACCATTTTAAATTTTTCTAAAAAATTTAAGGGGTTGCATCGTCAAAATGTGCAAAAATTAAAAAAATATTTAATATCTTAAAAAGGAAAATTTGGTATGCAGAATGTTAAGCGCCAAACAACTAACTCAGAACCGCTTTCCGAATGAAATATAGGCATTTTTGACAAAGTTATGCGATTTTAAACTTTGGTTGTTCCAAAAAATATGATATAGAAAAATCCCTTACAAAAAAAATTATCATATAAAAAAAATCAATTTTAGGAATCTTGCTGAGAAAATATCATTTTTTACAGTGAAGGAGCCATTTCCGACCTATAATCATATATATTCTTGATCAGCACTAACAGGCGAATCGTTCTAGCCATCTCAGGAAGCAAAAGAACCATTTTAAATTTTTTCTAAAAAATTTAAGGGGTTGCATCGTCAAATGTGCAAAAATTAAAAAAAATATTTTAATATCTTAAAAAGGAAAATTGGTATGCAGAATTGTTAAGCGCCAACAACTAACTCAGAACCGCTTTCCGAATTGAAATTAAGGCATTTTGACAAAGTTATGCGATTTTTAAACTTTGGTTGTTCCAAAAAATATGATATAGAAAAATCCCTTACAAAAAAAATTATCATATAAAAAAATCAATTTTAGGAATCTTGCTGAGGAAAATATCATTTTTACAGTGAAGGAGCCATTTCCGACCCTATAATCATATATATTCTTGATCAGCACTAACAGGCGAATCGTTCTAGCCATCTCAGGAAGCAAAAGAACCATTTAAATTTTTCTAAAAAATTTAAGGGGTTGCATCGTCAAAATGTGCAAAAATTAAAAAAAATATTTTAATATCTTAAAAAGGAAAATTTGGTATGCAGAATTGTTAAGCGCCAAACAACTAACTCAGAACCGCTTTCCGAATTGAAATTAAGGCATTTTTGACAAAGTTATGCGATTTTTAAACTTTGGTTGTTCCAAAAAATATGATATAGAAAATCCTTACAAAAAAAATTATCATATGAAAAAATCAATTTAGAATCTTGCTGAGGAAAATATCATTTTTTACAGTGAAGGAGCCATTTCCGACCCTATAAATCATATATATTCTTGATCAGCACTAACAGGCGAATCGTTCTAGCCATCTCAGGAAGCAAAAGAACCATTTTAAATTTTTCTAAAAAATTTAAGGGTTGCATCGTCAAAATGTGCAAAAATTAAAAAAAATTTTAATATCTTAAAAAGGAAATTTGGTATGCAGAATTGTTAAGCGCCAAACAACTAACTCAGAACCGCTTTCCGAATTGAAATTAAGGCATTTTTGACAAAGTTATGCGATTTTTAAACTTTGGTGTTCCAAAAAATATGATATAGAAAATCCCTTACAAAAAAATTATCATATAAAAAAATCAATTTTAGGAATCTTGCTGAGGAAAATATCATTTTTACAGTGAAGGAGCCATTTCGACCTATAATCATATATATTCTTGATCAGCACTAACAGGCGAATCGTTCTAGCCATCTCAGGAAGCAAAAAACCATTTTAAATTTTTTCTAAAAATTAAGGGGTTGCATCGTCAAAATGTGCAAAATTAAAAAAAATATTTAATATCTTAAAAGGAAAATTTGGTATGCAGAATTGTTAAGCGCCAAACAACTACTCAGAACCGCTTTCCGAATTGAAATTAAGGCATTTTGACAAGTTATGCGATTTTTAAACTTGGTTGTTCCAAAAAATATGATATAGAAAATCCCTTACAAAAAAATTATCATATAAAAAAATCAATTTTAGGAATCTTGCTGAGGAAAATATCATTTTTTACAGTGAAGGAGCCATTTCCGACCCTATATATCATATATATTCTTGATCAGCACTAACAGGCGAATCGTTCTAGCCATCTCAGGAAGCAAAAGAACCATTTTAAATTTTTCTAAAAAATTTAAGGGGTTGCATCGTCAAAATGTGCAAAAATTAAAAAAAATATTTTAATATCTTAAAAGGAAAATTTGGTATGCAGAATTGTTAAGCGCCAAACAACTAACTCAGAACCGCTTTCCGAATGAAATTAAGGCATTTTTGACAAAGTTATGCGATTTTAAACTTTGGTTGTTCCAAAAATATGATATAGAAAAATCCCTTACAAAAAAAATTATCATATAAAAAATCAATTTTAGGAATCTTGCTGAGGAAATATCATTTTTTACAGTGAAGGAGCCATTTCCGACCCTATATATCATATATATTCTTGATCAGCACTAACAGGCGAATCGTTCTAGCCATCTCAGGAAGCAAAAGAACCATTTTAAATTTTTCTAAAAAATTAAGGGGTTGCATCGTCAAAATGTGCAAAAATTAAAAAAAATATTTTATATTAAAAAGGAAATTTGTATGCAGAATGTTAAGCGCCAAACAACTAACTCAGAACGCTTCCGAATTGAAATTAAGGCATTTTTGAAAAGTTATGCGATTTTTAAATTTGGTTGTTCCAAAAAATATGATATAGAAAATCCCTTACAAAAAAATTATATAAAAAAATCAATTTTAGAATCTTGCTGAGGAAAATATCATTTTTTACAGTGAAGGAGCATTTCCGACCATATATCATATATATTCTGATCAGCACTACAGGCGAATCGTTCTAGCCATCTCAGGAAGCAAAAGAACCATTTTAAATTTTTCTAAAAAATTAAAGGGGTTGATCGTCAAAATGTGCAAAAATAAAAAAAATTTTAATATCTTAAAAAGAAAATTTGGTATGCAGAATTGTTAAGCGCCAAACAACTAACTCAGAACCGCTTCCCGAATTGAAATTAAGGCATTTTTGACAAAGTTATGCGATTTTTAAACTTGACTGTCCCAAAAAGTATGATGACATTCCAATTTTTTCAAAAAACAGGAAAGTGGTTATTTCTACAATTTAGTATGGAAAATTGTTCATGGGTTTTGCTATTCAGCATATATATGCCTGTACACTGACTCCTTGCTAAAGGCTTGCAGTTCTCTCACCTTCACCAAAGTTGTAACCTTTTCAGACACACACTCTTAATCTCTCAATGCCGTCGTAGTTTTAGTTGCTTGTACTTATACCAACTTTTCCGTTCCAGCAGCCAGGAGGCTAGCCACACCAACAGTCGCTCTGCCACATTTACAAACTGGGACGTCAGCCAGCCGGCCAATGTGACCGTGAGGAGTCGGAACAGCATGGGCGCCTCGGTAGAGAGCAGCTGGCTGTGGGTACCGGCCATAAGCGATGTGGCGAGGCGCCGGGCTTCTCATCTGAGGTACCAGCACCACGCCAATGGTTCCACCACCTTCACGTGGGACAAGCCCGAGAGAGCGATCTGCTGTTGGGTACACCATCTACTGGTGCAATGCCTCCGATACACTCGGCCAGCTATGCCAGGACGGTGTTGCCACCAATAAGATCTCGTTGTACGGTGCTGAGCGGCAGGAGTACACATTCAGCAGTTCGATGGCACTGCAGGATATTGCCTTGGCACCCAATTACGGAGATCATGTCAGTGCGGCATAAGCGCCAGGCTGGTGGCCGTGGAAAAGAAGGAGATTGAGGCATTCACGTTCCGAAAGGCCAGGATTCTGGAGGGCATCGGTGCCCTGCTGCTGCTGGGATTGGCCATCATGTCAGTCAAGAAGCTACACAAAATGAATGATATTAAGGTTGAATTGCCCATTATGGGCCAAAAAATGAGACTTGAGCCAGTGTCCGAGTCCGAGGCGAAGTCTTCTCCTCGTGTGGGTGTGCCGAGGATAACGAATCCATATTATGATCCCAAAATTACCATAGTTAATATAGAGCTTCAACCACTCACAAACGTGGACCAAGACCAAGAGAGGGAACCAGAGGAGCTGGAGATTGACGAGTCCTTTACGGATGTCGTTGAGCAAACCGAACCAGAGTCTCGTCATATGTGTGCATGAATACCGGCAATGGAAGACCACCGTCACCACTTTTAACACTAACAACAATGGGTATGTCATGGCATCTCCACCGCAAATAAATCTAAATGGCAATGGCAATGTCATGGAGTCTGCGCCACGAGTAATGCCTAACAACTTAGGATATGTCTTGACACCTCCACCGCGTATGATTCCCAATAACGATGAATATGTCAATCCGCCTCCGCCTCGATTAATACCAAACAGCGATGGATATATTAATCCGCAGCCTCTACTAAGATGAGATGCAAGCCACGTCGCACTTCGCCTCGCCTCGCATTACACACAGTAGGGAAAATCCAACGTAATCCAAGCTCTCACAGTTCACAGCTTATCGCGAATAAATATATAAATACATATATATACGTATGCGTAGTAAGAATCATAACAAATTATAACTTTTTTTTTTTTTGTATAAACTTACTAAATAATAATATGTGTACATACATCCCTATTATCATTTGTGTTATCTTATTCAGAAATCAGAAACCTAAGGCTTTAAATTGCGGGTTATGACTCCGGGAACTATCTAATATATCCAATATCAAAGTTCTTTGGTTTAATTAAACTCTTATTTGTATATTTAATAAAAAAAACATTCTTGTACAAACCATAGAAAATTACAAATAACCAAAGATTACATAGAGATATGTAAGCACAGAGAGTAAGTGTCCTGTGATTAACCCAATCACAATCCCGATCCCAATCTTAGAGATTGGACGTGGACGGCTTGCCGCCGTGCCACTTGTACGAGCCGGAGTACTTAAAGTTGTTCTCCTCGCACTTGCGATCGGCCTGCTTGGGCCCCGGGAGCCGTACTGGTAGGTGATGGGCTTGACGCGCTCGCGCTCGATCTTGTGCAGGATGGGTGTGAAAATGCGCCACGCCTCGCGCAGCTCGTCGGAGCGGACAAAGTGCATCTGGGAGCCGCAAAAGACATCGAGAATGAGTCGCTCGTAGGCATCCGGCAGGTAGGAATCCTTGTAGCGGTGCTCATACGTGAGATCCAGCTCCGTTTCCTCAATGTCGAACGTGATGCCGGGCTCTTGGTCATCATTTTGAAGTACAGCGCCTCACCCGGCTGCACACGGATCACCAGCTCGTTGCGCTTCGTGCTGCCCTCGAAAATGTCGCCGGGCACATCTTGGTACTGGATGCGGACCTCCGCCTTGCGTTCGTTCAATGCCTTGCCGCAGCGCAGGATGAAGGGTACGCCCTGCCAGCGCTCATTGTTGATCTTCAGCACGCCGAGGGCGTAGGTGGGCGTAGTGGAGTTCTTGTCAACAGTGGGGTCTTCCAGGTAACCGGTACGTGCATCCTCAGTGGTGCCCGCTGGATTGCCAACATACTGGCCCAACACCATGTCGTCTACGGTAAGGGCCTCGATGCTCTTCAGCACCTTGACCTTCTCGTCACGTATGTCGTCCGGATGACAGCTGACCGGCTTCTCCATTGCCACCAGCGACAGGATCTGCAGCAGATGGTTCTGCATCACGTCGCGAATGATGCCGAACTCGTCGAAGTAGCCACCGCGACCCTGGGTGCCGAAGGGCTCCTTGAATGTGATCTGCACCGAGGCAATATTCTCTCGATTCCACGTCGAGCTGAGGATCTTGTTGCCGAAGCGAATGGTCATCAGATTCTGGACCATCTCCTTGCCCAGGTAATGATCGATGCGGTACAGTTGCTCCTCGTGGAACAATCCAGCCAGGTGATCGCTCAGCGCCTGCGATGAGGCGTCATCGCGTCCAAATGGTTTCTCGATAATCACGCGGTTCCAGCCGCTGCAAATACAAGGTTTCAGTATGAGATTTCACTTGAACGCAGGGAGGAGGACTACTCACCAAACGGACATGCAGATCTGCTTGATGTTAACCGTCACCTCCTCGAAGACGCTCGGCGGCAAGGCCAGGTAGAAGATGCGATTAGCCTTGTTCTTGTTTTCCATCAGCTCCAGCTGCTGGTTGAGCAGCTCAAACCCAGTTCGCCCATCGTAGCTGCCGGCCACATACTCATTGAGGGCCCAGAACTCCTCGTACTTGGCCTGCTCGTGGGGCTGCACCTGTGGAATGTACGTGGCATAAGCATCTGTGAACTGTGGACACCAGTTGCTTGGCACTCACCTTCATGTACTGCAGGCAGGATGCCTTGAGGCTGGCAATTGACAGCTTGGAGCGTGCATACCCGCAAAATTTGGTCGGTTTTGGGAGCAGGTCATCGCGGTAGAGCCACCAAAGGGTTGGGTAGATCTTCTTCTTGGCCAAATCACCGGATGCCCCAAAGATCACGAACGTGTGCGGTATCTTGCCATCGAAGTGGGTGCCCTCGCAGACCATGGTCGGGGACTTGAGCGACTTGATGATGAGATCCAGGGCGGTGTGGTCTGAAAATACAAGGTAGGTTAGCTTTTTTCAAGTCTCATATGATTCACAAGCACAAACCACACCCACAAGGCATAGAAGCATCTAGATTTGTTCTAAAAAGGTTTGATAAGGTTTGATATTTCAATATAATTTATGTTTATGGTTAGTTTACTAGCATTTTCACTGTCCGGTAAGCAGAATAAATACTTGTATACAGTTTGCATGGATATATCCCAGAAATCCTTGTCCTTTCCAAGGCATTTCTTTAATATCTTGGCTAAGATAAACTCGAAGTTGGCCATAAGTTGGGGCTTTCAACCTCAATAACCTTTTGCACTTTAGAAGCCCTTTACTCATATATAAACTTGACCTTGACTACATGGATTGTATGACCTTTGTATATACGATATGTATCTTTTCAAAATCGAAGGTATTATGATTTGTAGTCCATTTATTGTAACTCTACTCCTTGGGGAAGCTTCCAAAGTATTCGCTGAGGATCTGGTGTGAAGTTTTTGGAGGACTGACCTGTAGTGAGTGTGCCGCGAGTGAAGTGAAGGAGGAAAGTGAATGGTCGCGGCCTTGTGCTGACCTTATTTATGAATGGATTGAAAGCAGTTGATAAGAACTCGATAACGCCCCGGATCCGTTGTCTAATCACAATGACTAGTCACCAAATTTGCCACTTGACTCTGCCAGAGGTCACCTGGTTGATGTGGTTTGTCCGGCGCTGCAAGAGATCTCGTGGCGGAGCAGATCGTCAGATCGGGCGCGGAAGCCAGTGAGTGGGGGACAGCTGGACAGGTGTACGCGCGCGTATCTTTCGATGCGGTTGCACAAAGCGAATAAACTGCTGCGCTGTGCTTGACTTTGAAAAGTTTGTAAGCGGCGGTGGCGCGGTCAGCGACGACGTCGCCGTTGGCGTCGACGGCACAAAGTGCAAATTGCCAGACCAGAGTGTAATAGGTGTAATGCCGTAATGGTGTAATGGTGTAATGGTGTAATGGGTCTCGTATATCTGAGATCCGACGAGCCCGGCAGCAGCCTCAGCCTAAACATTTAGCTGGAATAATGAATTCTCTGATCTATGAATCTGATTTCTTTGGGGTCTTAAAAAATCACTACTCCAAGCATTTACAATCGAAGCAGTAGAATAAAGTTGATAATTAGTAAAAGGTGCGCCAGCATTTATCTCATAAATCTAGTAATTCCCCACTATATCTCTTCAATCTTTCAAGTATCAATCTCTAGAAACAACCGAGAAACGTTATTTTATTTTTGTAAAATACAACATGTTTCCAGTTGTTATTTCGGGTTTCTCACAGCTCCAGCTTTTAGCTGAGCTCATTTATTATAAATAATACCTATGACTAATAATACAACATTTATTGATTGGAATTCCATCTAAAGTGTACCTTTTTTTGTGTATTTCTAAAAATATCTTTTATATATTTTGTATAATGTACATATCTGTCTCGGAATCAACTCTCTTATTTGTTATTATTATCAGACATCTAAGCCGATGACTGAATGTGTCACCTGATCTATGCTCAAGCCGCGGGTTTGATTACCTTGCACAAATAAGATGGACTGGGAGAAGTCTCCCAAGAACAAGATAGGATAGGTTAAGTTTCAACAAGTTACTTATGATTTTGTTTAATTTTTCTTTTTTTAGAGAGATAACAAAAGGCACCTTGAAAGATGCCGGCTTCTCATTGAATGTTTCGAGTATTCCCTAAAGGGGACTACTTATTTATTTTATTATTTGTTGCCAACCTAATTCTGGTAGCGAATAATAAAGATTCAATAGCTTCAAGATTTGTCTCTCTTCACGAAATATTTCTAACAGTATTATCCCTAAACTGTTTTTAAGGCGGACGGATAAAAACATGATCAAAGACAAATTAATATTAAAAATTAATCAAAAAAAGAGGTAACTATGATCAGTAAGTATCAATCAGCATTAAGTAACTATGAGCAGTATGCAACTCTGAACATTAAGTATCTTTGACCAGTAAGTAACTCTGACAAGTAAGTATCTATGAGCAGTAAGTAACTCTGATAAGTAAGTATCTATGACCAGTAAGTAACTCTGAACATTAAGTATGTATGATCAGTTAATAACTTTGAACACTAATAAACAATGACTTGCAACTTCTGTAACACAACACGTATCTGAGACTTGGTTGGTAGAAGACACTTCGTTCCGAGGATGTTAGAACAAGTTGGGAATCATATGCGCAGATGTGCGCAAGTAACTTTGAGCAGTAATTAACTCTGAACAGTAAGTATCTATGATCAGTAAGTAACTCTGAACAGTAAGTACCTATGATCAGTAAGTATCTATGATCAGAATGTAGCTATGAGACGTAATTAACTCTGACAAGTAAGTATGTATGACCAGTAAGTATATATGAACAGTAAGTAGCTATGATCTGTAATTAACTTTAAGCACTAATAAACAATGACTTGCAACTTTTGTAACACAACACGTATCTGAGACCTGGCTGGTAGAAGACACTTCGTTCCGAGGATGTTAGAACAAGTTGGGAATCATATGCACAGATGTGCAGAAGTAACTATGAGCAGTAATTAACTCTGAACAGTAAGTATCTATGTTCAGTAATTAACTCTCAACAGTAAGTATCTATGATTCGTAAGTATGTATGAACAGTAAGTAGCTATGATCAGTAAGTATGTATGTATGATCAGTTACTAACTTTGAACACTAATAAACAATGACTTGCAACTTTTGTATCACAACACTTTTCTGAGACCTGGCTGGTAGAAGACACTTCGTTCTGGGGATGTTAGAACAAGTTGGGAATCATATACACAGATGTGCGAGACTTGTTTTGGAACAAATTTAGGAGCATGCAATGTGAATGAAACTATGGGGTTATTCTTCTATATAATTATATATATATATATTAATTATTAATATATATATAATAATAATATATATATAATTATTAATATATATATATTAATATATATATATATATATATATATATATATATAAATATATATATAAAAATATATATATATAAAAAAAATATCAAATAAAAATTGCAATTTCAAGAATCTTGCAGAGGAAAATATAATTTTTAACAGTGAAGGAGCTATTTCCGACCCTATATATATATTCTTGATCAGCATTAGCAGGCGAATCGTTCTGGCCACTTCAGGTGGCAAAGCAAACAATTTCAATTTTTTGAAAAATTCAAGGGGTTACATCGCAAAAATCTAAAAAAAATTGGATCTCCTAAAAAAATAAATTTAGTATGCAGATTTGTTAAGGGCCAAGAAACTAACACAGGAACGCTTTCCGAATTGAAATTAATGCATTTTTGACAAAGTTATGCGATTTTTAAACTTTGGCTGTCCCAAAAAATATGACGTAAAAAAATCGTGTTAAAAAAAAATTATCAAATAAAAATATCGATTTTAGGAATCTTGCAGAGGAAAATATAATTTTAATCAGTGAAGGAGCTATTTCCGACCCTATAAATCATATATATTCTTGATCAGCATTAACAGGCGAATCGTTCTGGCCACAGGTGGCAAAACAGACAATTTCAATTTTTTGAAAAAAATTCAAGGGGATAAGCTGTAAGTTACTCTGATTAGTAAGTATGTATGAACAGTAAGTAGCTATGTTCAGTTACTAACTTTGAACACTAATAAACAATGACTTGCAACTTCTGTAACACAACACGTATCTTAGACTTGGTTGGTAGAAGACACTTCGTTCCGAGGATGTTAGAACAAGTTGGGAATCATATGCACAGATGTGCGCAAGTAACTTTGAGCAGTAATTAACTCTGAACAGTAAGTATCTATGATCAGTAAGTAACTCTGAACAGTAAGTATCTATGATCAGTAAGTAACTCTGAACAGTAAGTACCTATGATCAGTAAGTATCTATGATCAGAATGTAGCTATGAGACGTAATTAACTCTGACAAGTAAGTATGTATGACCAGTTAGTATATATGAACAGTAAGTAGCTATGATCTGTAATTAACTTTAAGCACTAATAAACAATGACTTGCAACTTTTGTAACACAACACGTATCTGAGACCTGGCTGGTAGAAGACACTTCGTTCCGAGGATGTTAGAACAAGTTGGGAATCATATGCACAGATGTGCGCAAGTAACTATGAGCAGTAAGTAACTCTGAACAGTAAGTATCTATGATCAGTAAGTAACTCTGAACAGTAAGTACCTACGATCAGTAAATATCTATGATCATAATGTAGCTATGAGACGTAATTAACTCTGACAAGTAAGTATGTATGACCAATAAGTATATATGAACTGTAAGTAGCTATAATCAGTAATTAACTTTAAGCACTAATAAACAATGACTTGCAACTTTTGTAACACAACACGTATCTGAGACTGGGCTGGTAGAAGACACTTCGTTCCGAGGATGTTAGAACAAGTTGGGAATCAGATGCACAGATGTGCGAGACTTGTTTTGGATAAAATTTAAGGGAAAGCTATTTGAATGAAACTATGGATTTATTCTGCTATATAATTTTACTAGTATATAAGTCGGAGCATGGCGAATCGGTGGATTATATGTGTACATACATATAAATATATAGCTGCCATAGGAACGATCGGAAATTTTTAATAAAAATAATTATAACTTTTCCAGTTTTTAACAGATTTCCCATCAAATTTAGTATATAGCCTATATACATTAATCTAGAGGAAAATGCAAGCCTCTGAATGAAATAAAAGTAGGCAGTACTATATTGTTTTTGATCATAAATATATATTATTTATAATTTATTAATTCCCAGTGATCGAGTTTCAATCTGCAAGGGTTTAGAAAAGAGCTTCCTTTCTTATTAAACTTTGATTGATATAAAAACATAGTATAATTCAATTGCAAACTTGTGAACTTCAGCTTCCCAAAGTTAATTCCCTTTCTTATTTAAGAAAGGGAAGTTTGCTCCTCATTAAATTCCAGGTAATGCAATAATGCTTTTCGGTTGACCAATCACGATGGGGGGAACTGACCGGGGCTGGGGATGGCTTCACGGAGGAGATACCGCGATGGTGAATCACACAGCCACGGCCAGTAATTATAATCTCGGCCGAATCGCATTTGACATTGACACAGACGGCGGCACGGGGGCAAGGAGACGATGGAGGAGACAGAGAACAAGGTAATGTTGGGCATGAAATAATGTCTGAATAAATTAAAATCGAGCGGGTTTTGTGTTTTGGAAAGGCTTTTCGCTAGCCCCCGCTGGTACAGGCACAGGCAAAGGCACTGGAACTGGAACTGGTACTCGCATGGCACGGCACGCATGTGTGCCAATTATTTACGTGTAGAATGTGCGCGGCGCGCTTCCAATGTCATTACCGCGGAGAATGGAGAATGGAGAGTGGAGAGCGGACGACACGAAAGGTTATTTGCCGGGCTTTAATCTTGGGACACTGAGTGGCTGCTGTTGTTGGCAACAACAACTACACGTCATCGGTAGATAATTGGGGAGTGAGGGCGGGAAGATTGAGCTTTTTGTGATAAGACGCTGTCGTCCGTTATGTTTTGTAGGTGACCCCCTAGCCGAAGAACACATTTTGAAGGGCGCCGCGCGCTCGCAGTCGCAGTCGCAGTCACCAGTCACTATCACAATCGTCCACCTGACAGCGGCACTGTGATCGCACAGAGTATGCACAAACTAAAGCACTTACCTTTCTTTTGCGTTGTCATCTTGTCTCGCGATCCCGTTAGCCGTGTCAAACGATGAGGGAGAGAGCACACACACACACACAGAGAGACACAAGAAAGAAAAAAAAGCGTAGATTTTTTGTACAAACAACTGTACTGCCGTTGTTTGGTTTGATTTCACTAGCCAATTGTTGGTATGCTTAACGTTAAGCAATCCGGCTATGTAATTACGACGGTCAGCGGATGGAGCTTGAGTTTGGAGACGCGGAGCCCTCGAGAGCACAGTAATGGAGCCCAGCACGATCGTTCACTGACTGCGCTAGGCCGAGCGCGGAAAGCGTGCATGAAGCGGCAGCGGGCAGCGGCATTGCCAATGGCAACAAGAAACGGCGCTTTGTAAGCGACGTCGCTGATCGAGGGCAGGAGCGGATTCAAACTCCAGCCGGCCTGTGTTTTATCATTATTATATTATATTTAATTAATCAAGAAAAGGTTTTTACGTCAGGGTTTCCCCGAAATGGTCAATACAAGTATTTTTCTTTTCTTTTTTTTAATAATAATTTATTACATTTATATTGTTTTGTTTTGTTTTGTTTTTAGTTAACTGCGCTGCGGTCTCAGGCCATTGTTTGTAACATACAGCCTAAGCACAGCACGCAGCGGTCTTCGGTTGCCCCAAATAGGCCCTTCCAAACAATTTGTTAAACTATTAATGATAAAAAGCTACGCCCCACCCCCGTGTTGGCGCCCACCCGCCCGATTGTGATTCCGATCCGCCCCTGGCTCTGCCTGTTGCCTGTTCTCTGTTGTGCACTCATTCACACAAACACACACACACGCACACACGCGCGGGCAACGTAAACACGGGCCTCTGCATGTGTGACGACGCTTCTCTGCATGCGTTTGCTGCCCGCTTTTTGTTTCTGTTTATGTGAGTGGTTTCGGTCAGCAGGGACGGCGCGGTGAGTGGGCAGAGGATCGGAGGGCCAGATCGGCGCCAGTGTTGCCAGCTGGGTAAAATGGAAGTGGGAGTGGGAATGGAACTACGGATTACATTTACCAAGTGTGGTGGAGACGAGAGACGGGGGGAAGGGATGCGGCTAAACTGCTGGGATTACAAGGATTACGGACATGCACACATATACCTTATTCCAAATATGTAAGAGCAGCGGTGCCGGTGCTGATGCCAGAGCCGTTAAGCCCTCCGCCGCCGCGTTGTAATTGTTTGTCACTTTATGCATATGTAATTCGTGGGTCAGGCCAACAGGTGTAGTTCTTGCGTGCGAGTGTCGTGTGTGTTGAGTGTGTTTTGTTCTGTTGTCTGCTCCGATGGCCCTCTCTATTTACAGTTTTATTAATTCCTATGCGGCTCCGTCCGGAAGCCGTCGCCCGCCCCATCGCCCGCTACCCGCCAACCAAGACCACGAGAACGGTTGAGCCAGAGTGGGGGCACGTACTGTTTGCGGATGTCGGTCGTCAGTAGAAGAGCACAGAGTGCAGGATCACACGGTTGCGGCGCTCCTCAAACTCTTGGATCATCTCGTCGATGTCGTTGTCGAGATCCGTGGACTTGGCCAACTGTAAAGATGAGGGAAGAGCGAGTGAGTCGGGGTGTCGTTCTGGCTTGGAGTGAACTTCGTACCAAGTTGATCATGTCCGTGATGAGAAAGGCGCCCATCAGCGCATCCTCAGCGTTGTCAACCACATCCACGTTAAGAACGTGCACCGGACGGTTATCCACCGATTCCATCGACTCCATGTGCAACACCACCAGGTCGTACACGCGCTCCTCCACAGTGACAATGATGTCGAACTGCTCTTTGGTGTCTTGAAAGCGTTCCGGGCACTTTTTGATACGCCGGTTGCGGTCCAGCATGTGCAGCAGCCCGTTCTGTGTGTAGCTGTGGAAGCAGAGGATGAGAAGGCTGAATGAAAGGAGGCCAAGGCTCGGGTCGGCATGCAGTCAAACTTACAACTCCTTGTCCTTCGACTCCAGGTCGCGGTAGATGTGCTCGTAGGTGGTGCCGAACTCGTAAACATTCGGCTTGTCGAACGCCATGCCCGGCAACTTGACGCGTTCGCCGGTGCCGTAGGAGCGCACGTTGTAGCCCTTTTTGGCCAGGAAGTTGTGCGCCTCCATGGAGCGGTTCATGTTTGAGGAGCAGACCACGGCCACGGACAATTTGCTCGGATCAGTCATCTTTGGCAGTGCGTGCAAAAAAAAATTAGCAAAAAGAAGATTCACTAGGGATGTTGAAAATATATCAACACATCGATATATCGATATTTTTCTCTAAGTGATTTATTTATATCGTGATATTTTGTTTGCCCAAGTATCGATGTTGCGATAAATCGTAAAATACCATTTCAGTATTTTAAAACCATAGCTTTTAAAGCAGATAACAGGTAATCTCTCTACGAAAGACACAATCGCAGTATTTGTAGGTCGATAACGATAAAATACTGCTTTTTAGATCAAAATATACTGGAGGTTCATTTATCTTTTTTCAAAAGCCAGGGATGAAAACTGTTAAAATTAAAAAAAATACAAGAAATACAATATAATCAAAACCCACAAACCACCCCAAGAGTAGTTTATTTTAATTGAAAACTGTTGTTATTAATCATTTTAGTATTTTTTTATTTTCAATGTTTCATCTCTTGTTACTTTTTTCGCCTTCTGCTGTTTGTCTTTTGTTTTGTCTTCTTTTTTTGTTTTGTTTTTTTCTTTTATCTTTTCTTTGAATTAATTTATTAATTAATCTTTATGTTTACTTATTGATTTAGTATCTTCCACTTTTTCATCCACGCATTTTACTCGCCACTTCTCGCGCTCACAGCGCATCTCTCCTAAGTTTCCTCTGCCACTTCTTATACTGAGGGGAGGATGGGTGGGTGGGTGGTGTTTTTGTTTTTTTCTTTTTTGGTTGAAGGAAAGGATGCAGTTTCTTTTGGGGGTCTGGGAAGAAGGTGTCTTATGGAAAACGGAACGGTGGCATTATCCATCTTCATACCTTTCTCATTTACGCTTGTCTGCAGTGGCGCATGCAAATATTTTTAATATCCTTCACTTTAAATAATTTTTTAGCATAACTATTAAATAATTTGTTTTGTATATATATATACGTATTTATATATATATATATATATATATATATATATATACATATGTGAACATATATATATATACATATATATATTATTTATATTCAGTTTTGTCTTTCGTTTTTCTTTCAATTTAAATGTTATAATTATTATCGTAATTATTATTTAATAAAATACTCAACAAATAATGTAATGGGTTTTCGTTTTGTTTTGTTTTTTTTTCTTCTCTCTTATGTTTTCCCCACCTTTTCGTTTTAGTTCTTCTGCTGCTGTGGCTCCTCTGCTGCGATCGCCAATCCCATCTTTGCTGCTGTTTTTAATTTATTTTACTCTCTTTTTTTCTGCATTTATATTTTGATTCGTTTAGTACTATTTAAACACTTAGTAGGTATTATTTTCTTTTACCTTTTTATGCATATGCTTGTTTGTGGACACTTTTCATTCCTTTCTTATGCAAAAAAAATTAAGAAACAAAGCAAAAACGAATGGAATTTATATCACATCAAATGGAAGTGAAACAAAATGCAGACAGAAACATAGGTAAATGAAAACATCACTTGGGATTTTTTTTTATCAAACATTTCGCTTGTTTATTTTGTTTCTCTTGTTGTTTGTTGGTTGTTGTTGTTGTTGTTGGTTTCTTTTGTGGGCTGTGGATCGAACCGAAACCGTTAAGTGATAATAAAAAGTAATGATAATGATAATCATAATCATATAATAATAATAATAATAATAGTCGTTTTAAATATATATAGATATATATAATATAATTTATAATTTAAAAATGTGCATTTTACATAATCATATTATAGAATATATTCGCTCATACTCCTTCATACCATTCTGTCCATTTCTCTTTCTATCCACTCTTTTCACTTTTTTTAAAATCAACACACTCGCGCGCGATCATCCAAGTTATCGATGAAATCGCGTCGATAACACACACACATCTATATATAAATAAACATATACATATATATATCCATATAAATATACATTTAAATACATATATGTATGTATATATATATGTATATATATATAGATATACCACTATGGTATCGGCTTAAATAAACGAATAAAAATTATCATTATCCTCATCTCACTATGAAAACAAAAAAAAAAAAAATCTTACAAACTGATTGGCTAAAATTAAAGGAAAGTACGTACATATACAAATTTGCATATAAATCTGAAATGGTTCTTCTGGTTCTTCTTTTGCATCTTTTATCTTGGTTTGTTTTTGTTTTCTTGTTTAATTTTAATTGTATTTTAGGCATAAATTATTTATATAAATATTTACAATTTTCTTTGCTACTTGTTAGGGAGTTGTTTTTTGCTTTTTTGCTTTTTTCTTTTATGTTGTTTTTCTGTTTCTTTTGCTGCTGTTTCCCATATCTCACCATCACTCTCTCTTTCTTCTTCTTCTGCCTGCCATCTTCTTCTGTGGCCTTTCCTCTTTCTCTTTACCGTTACTGATTCCGCGTTTTTGCAATATTTCATATGCTGCGCTCTAAAAACTAATTTCGGGTTTCATTATTTATAATTTCTGTTTTTTTTGTTTTATATACTTTTACTTTGTATTTTTGTTGTTTTTTTCCTTTGTTTTATTTTTGTTGTATAGACTAAAGAAAAAAATGTTTTTAGCTTTTGGATAAATCTGCTTTCGCTGCGTCCTTTTCTTTTTCTTTCTTCCTATCTCGCCTTCTCTCTTTTTGTGAGCCTTCTCCCTTGTCGTGTTCAAGTTTCTTTTTTTGCGGATTTTTATATCGGTTTTACATACATAGAATTCTATATATATTTATATTATTGAAACATTTAGCTTGGTAGTTCATGTGTTTTGTTTTTGTTGTTTTTTTTTGCCGTTTGTATATATATATATAGGTTTCTATATTAATATGCCTTGGATATTAATATTTAATACAATGTTACGCGCATAGTGCATTACAAATATAGTTTAAAATTAAAAAAAAAAAAAAACATGTATTTAAATATATATGTTGTTACATACATACATATATATATTTATAATTTTAATAAAAACTATTACATTAGTTAATATTATGAAGTATAATTTGAAGTAGGACTACTTCAAAATGGGGCTTTTCTTTACTATAATCTGACGCGAGAATCACTCTTCTCTCCTTTTCTCTCTCTCTTTCTCTGTATCTTTCTCCTCCTATTCCCCTGCGCGCAGCCGTAACTTGTTTTCTTTGCTCTTATTTTCTTTCTTTCTTTGTTGTTGTTGTTTGTTGTTGCGTGGCATTGATTTTCCTATTGTATTTAGCTTTATCTTCATCTGATTGATTTTCTGCACCTCTCTCTCATTCTCTCTCTGTCTCACTCTCTTATTTAGCGGTTATTTCTTCAAAGTGAATTTTGTTTTCTTTTGGTTGTTTGTTGTTGTTGTTCAAGATTACGAGTATATACAAATGTATATGTATGCACGTGTGCATGGTTTTTTATGATATTTAAATCAAGGTTAATTTTGGGAATTTTGATACAAAACAAGCGGAAAATTAATAAAAGCTTTCGTCTATGAATTAAATGTATTATCAACAAATTGTATATCAATAAAAAATAAAAGAATATACAAGCATTTACGCATTGGGAAATAATTTAAAACACACATGTACATACATACATGTCGGTATAATTGTAATTACAATATAATTTAAAGAGTGTTTCGTGGAATATTCAGAGATGTTATGAGTTCTGTCGAGAGTCTGTTTGTGTGCGTGCAAAACACAAAAAAAAACATTGCAACTGGCTGTATTTTTGTTGTAATTTGTGTTTCCCTTATCTTCTTCTCTTTCTTTTTTATATTCTTTACTGGTTGGTTTATAGCTTTCAGCTAATTGGTTTTTTTTTATATATACTGTATGCTTTTTTAGCCTACGCTAATTTGCTATCTTTTTTTACAAAGAAAAACTTCTCTCGCGCGCTCTTTTCCTCTCTCGTTCTTACTCGCTCTCTCACTTGCTCAGCTCTTTTGGGAATTGTTTTGCGTTTGCTTCTTGTTTTTTTTTTTGTTATTTTCTTTTTTGTGTTTAGATGCCACCTAATAACTAATTTACATTTAGGATTTAATTATTATTAATTTTATATATATATATTAATTATTCTGCTTGGTATTTTATAGTTAACAAAAAAAAAATGTGTGTTTATATAGCAGCCTTTATAAACAATTTCTCAAGCTTTCTTCTCCTTTTCCTCCTGTGTGATTTTATTCTCTTCATTCAGATTTTCTTTTCTGGATTTCTCCTCTTCGTGCTGTACTTTTTGCAGCTTCTTGCCAGCTTAGCTTCTTTCTCTCCATCTGCTCTTTCGACTTTCTCCGGCTGTATTTGCTGCTGCTGGTTTTTTTTGTTTTGTTTTATGTTTTTTTTTTTTGTTGCTTTACGCTGTTTATCACATTTAATATATATATGCATATATATATATATATTTATTATATATTTATTATATAGTTTCTTTAATTTAAGTTGGTTTTTATTTTCCTTTTGTTGGTTTGCGACTCGCAGTGGAAATTCCCTTGGTGTTCGTTTTTGCTGCTGTTCTTTTTTCGCGTTTGAATTATGTTTGCTGCTGCTGCTACTGTTGCTAGCGCCGCAGCAGCATCAACAATTAGCTTGGCTTTCGCGGCAGTGTTGCGCAGACAGCGTCGTCTTTGTATCCTCCATGTTCCATTCATCTCCAGAGCTTCAGTTCCTCTTCAATTTAATCGCATCAGTTTATAAACATTACAGCAGCTCCTGTTGCAACAGCAACTTGTGTTGCTGCTGCTGCAGTTGCGCCTGTTGTTGCAATTGTTGCTGCTGCCAGCGCTTGTATTTGCCCTGATAGGTTGGAGTTGTTGTATCTCCGCCTACTCCTACTCCTACTCCAACTCCAACTCCTCCTCCAGCTGCTGCAGCGACAGCTCCCGTTGTCATTGTCATTGTCTGCAGCATAATATTGTTGTTAATAATAGTGCTATTATTATTGTTATAATGCACGACGGCGGCATCCATCACAGTTTCATAGCAATATGCGGCTGCTGCATCCAGCAACGTTGTTGTTGTGGTTGTTGTTGCATAATTGCTGCTACTATTGTGCAGCTGAAGTTGCTGCTGCTGCTGCTGTTGCTGTTGGAGTTGATGGAGTTGCTGGAGTTCCAAGTGTTGCAGATGCTGCAACTGCTGCTGTTGCTGCTGGTGCTGCTGTTTTTGTTGCTGTTGTTGACTCGCAGCTAGTGTTCCTCCTACTGCTGCGAATTATGAATTGGAATTGCGCTTGGTTGGCAGCTAGGACGAACTCGATTGATTCATATTGCCAAACATGTGGGCAGAGAACGATGTCTGGCCCGTGGAATTGGCCTGCGATGTCGACGACTGTTGTTGCTGTTGCTGCTGTTGTTGCTGCTGCTGTTGCTGTTGCTGCTGCTGCTGCGCCTGCTGCTGCTGTTGATTCAGCGATCCTCGCCCATGTTTGGGTATCGGCGGCTGGATATACTCATGCCTGGCCAGCGCAAACACATCCATGCGATCCTCCTTTCGATAGGCCAAGCAGCCTCGAATGAAACTCTGCACGGTAAAAAGTTGAATGATATTTATAATTAAATATAATAAGCCACTCTACTCACCTTGGCCTCGTTGGAGACGGTTGGCTTGTTGGAGAACTGCACTTCGGTGGCCTTGAGGATTGTGTTCTCCTCGAGAATTGTGGCCTGCGACTGATTATGGCCAAAGGGCTTCTTGCCGTAGAGGCATTGGTAAAAGATGACACCGACACTCCAAACGTCCACCTTGGATGAGATCTTTGGCGGATTCTTGCCCACAACAAAGCATTCGGGTGGCAGATACCTAATCGAAATAATATAAACAACTTAATAAGGGGATCGAAAGGAAAGCTAATATTTAATACGCACCAGTAGGTGCCCGCTCCCTGTGAGGTTAGATCCATGCCGTGATCGGGATTGTAGTTCTCATCGTCCATCACCTTGGACAGACCAAAGTCGGTGATCTTGATTTCGCCACAGACATTGCCCTCGGTCAGCAGTATATTGCCGGGCTTCAGATCGTAATGGATAACTGGCGGCTTAATCTCATTCAGATACTTGAGAGCAGATACAACCTGAAGAAGGCAAGCAATTCAATTATTGATTAATTAAATTAAATATTAAGCATGCATGGGACACTCACCTGCATTATTATCGAGCGCGCTTCACGCTCGGGTATAGTCTTATGTTGCTTCAAATAAAAGTCCAAATCATGGCCATCACAATACTCGAGCACCGTGCAAAACGAGTTTGCATCAATCTCAAAGACATCGTAGAGCTTGACGACCCGCGGATGATCCAACGCCTTATGGATGTTGTATTCCCGCAAGGCGTGTCTGGTTGAGTTAATTGGGGATGGTTTTAAGAGGTAAAGCAAGATTATTAGTGAGAGTAATTGCAAATAGAGGAGAGCGAGGCCCAGACCCTCAGGTTATTTTTGCCTAAAAGCTAATTGTCTTTCTGTATAAGTTTCTTCTCAACTTGATGGCCGGAATACAGCTAGCTCCCTTTCCCCAATTAATAGTCGTACAAATTTTCCTAAACTCCTCGATCTTTTTCCTCTCCTTCACCGTTCACCGGTCGCCTTTCGCCTTCGCCTCGCCACTACTCACTTGATATAATTAGCTTTCTTATCCTCCTTCCAATCCTTGTTTAATTGGTGCACCTTACATGCGACATAGCGTTGCTCCTTGAGGTCGAAGGCCTTGTGCACCTCGGAGAAGCCGCCCTTGCCCAGCAGCATCAGCAGAAGATAGCGTTCGTTCAGCACGGGATGATTGTTGAAGCGGGACTAAAATACAATGATAATAATACCGCAATTGTTAAAAACAAAATCTCAAGGGGAAAATCACATTTGAGGCTTGAACCGATTGCCCACCTGATCCTCGTTGAGTATCCGCTTGAGCTCTCGGATATGCAGGTTACGCTCTCGCTCCAGCTTCTCCATCTCCAGCTGCAGGTCGGCGTCCTCCTTCTTGAGTGCGTTTTGTCGCAACTTGAGGATCTCGTCATACTCGTAGTACTCCTGCGCTGTGTACGCCCCCGATACGGGGTCCGGCTTGAGGAAGGTGCCAGAGTCCGAGCAGCTGCCGCTATCGTTACCGCCAATGCCACCGCCTCCGCCGCCGCCACCTCGATCCGAGAGTCGGTCGCCAACGCCGCCGGAATTGCCAACATTACCACCCGATCCTCCGCCGCCATTATGCAGCAACTGAGCCTGATTGGCCTGCGTCGAATTGGAACGCGATAAGCCGCGTCCGCCGCCACCACCGCCGCCTCCGCCACCAACACCACCGACACCGCCGCTACCGACGCCGCCGACGCCACCGCCGCCACCGACGCCGCCGCCACCGCCTCCAACAATTCCGCCAGCATTATTGCCACCAAGGCCGCTATCAACGCTGACACCACCACCGGCACCGCCGCCGCCAAGGCGGTCACTGCCCGGTCCGCTGACAACAACGCCGCCGGTTAGCTGCGAGGAATCGTTCGAGTTGGAATTCTGTTGCTGCTGCTGTTGCTGATGTTGCTGCTGCTGCTGCTGTTGCTGGTTGTTCTGGTTGCTATTGTTGTTGCGCTTACGTCCGGACTCCGCCGGGCGCTTCTTCATTAGCTGCTTCTTTTGCCGATCGATCTCTTCACGTTCGGCGGTGATCTCCTCCTGCCGCCGGCTCAGCTCCTGGAACGCATAACCGTCCGTCCAGTTCTCCTGCAGAGATTAAATAAAAGATTAATGATTATACATTTCCATTTCTTAGAGATACTCTAAAGCAAAAAATTGAACTATATCTCACCTGGAATGTGGCGCCCACTCGCTGGGTGACAAACTGGCCAAGGCGGAGACGATTCTGCATGCACTTTTGCCGCGCCTCCTTCTTCTCGATGCTGCTCTTCTCCTTTAGCAGCTTTTTAACAACCTCGATGCACTTGGCAATATGCGACTTGTGCTGATCGATCGTCTTCTGATTGCCAACTATCTGACACTTTTGCTCGTCCGATAGCCGCGTCATCTCGTCCAGCTTCACCTTGCCGGACTCATGCTCCGCCTCACGTTCCTGCAGTTCGTGCAGCGAAACCTCCGTTTGTGTGGCCTTGCTATACGTTATAATGGTAGCTGGCATGGCCATGGGCGGTGGCGGTGGAAGAGGTGGCCCAACGCCCACATTAACACCAACACCTACACCAACGTTTACACCAACACCAACCATACCGACAACGCCGAGGGAACCCAGCTGATGCGGATGCGTTGGAACAACGGTGGCCGTTGACGTGGTCGGCGGTCCTAGTTGCTGCTGCTGCTGTTGCTGCTGCTGCTGCGGCGTTTGCTGCTGCTGCTGGATGGAGGCGAGACTGAGGGGATGACCCATGCCCACGACCACATGTGGAGGAACCATTTGATTGGAAGTCTGTTGCTGCTGCTGGCGCTGCTGCTGCTGTTGCTGCTGCTGCTGCGCCTTGCTGGAGTTGACATAGTGGAAGTCGGCGGCTCCCGCTTGCTGCTGCTGCTGCGGCGTCTGCGTTTGGGGACTAGCTGGTGGATACAAATAGGCGCTGCTGGTCTGCACCTGCACTTGGTTGCCAGCAGCACCTCCTGTAACAACGCCGACGCCGACGCCGCCTCCCGCCGTCACACCTGTCGCCTGTTGCTGCGTTGTCTGCTGCTGTTGCTGTTGCTGGGCGGATGACGGTGACTTGCTGCCGCCGCCCGTGTGGGATCCCCGGATTCCGCCCGAGTTCCCACCCCCACTGCCGGCGACGCCAACGCTGACACCGACGCCTGGCTGCTGCTTATTGAAGTAGTCGTTGATCTTCTTGTTGTCGCTGCCGGGCAGCATTAGGCGGGCATTTTTGCCGCCGCCACTGCCGGACCCGGAACCGACGCCACTTCCTCCGCTGCCGGCACCACCGCCTCCGGCACCGCCTCCACCGCTGCTTGCTGAGCCGCCCAGGCGATCTCCCAGACCCAGGCTCATGTTCACCTTGGGCATATCACGAAAGGCCAGAGATTTGCCCTTCAGGCTGCAGTTGTTCACACCACCGGATCCAGTGCCGCCGCCTCCTGGGATCCCACCGCTGCCACCACCGCCTCCGGAGCCTCCGCCGCTCCCCGCCTCATCAGCGGTATGAGGCATTTTTCGTTTCCGTTTCCGTTCCGCCGGAGTGCGCGGCTTGCCGACAGCCACTGCCGCCACGGACGTCGTCGTTGTGCTGGCTGCCGTCATGTAGCTCATCTCTCCGGCTACGCCTCCATTGTTCGAGTGCTGCGGGGGTGGTGGCGGCGGCGGTTGTTGCATACCCAATGTGGGTGGAAAGGCGGGATGTTGTTGTTGCTGCTGCTGCTGTTGCTGCTGCTGAAGGGCAGCTCCTGCTCCTGGCGTTGCTCCGGCAGCACTTAGCATATCGTTGACATCCTTCTCGCTGTGCGAGGAGCCAGTGCTCATATTCGAATCCGGATTGCTGCTGCCCTGATGCAGTCCCTGCAGCGACTGCTGCTGCTGGTGGAAGTGCTGCTGCTGATGCAGTTGCTGCAGCTGGTGTGGATGCTTGTGCAGGTGCTGCAGATGCTGCTGAGCGAGGATCTGCTGTGGATTCGGCTGCTCCTGTTGCTGCTGCTGCTGCTGCTGCTGGGCGTTGTGATGATTCGCAAAATGCTGTTGCTGTTGTTGCTGCTGCGGGGGCGGGGCCTGCTGCTGCTGAGGCGGCTGCAGCTGCTGCTGTTGCTGCTGGTTAGGATGGTGGTGACTTAGGGCCGAAGTAGTCTGCGGGGCCATCTGCAACTGAGCACCGGCGGACATCTGCAATAAACAAGGGATAGTTTAAAGTTAGTCAAAGTTTAATTTCAACTGATTTTTATATATATACTTTATTATACTAAAAGAATAACTGAATAAATATTAGGCTCAAAGACTTAAGTACTGTGTATTTAATTACAATATTTCTTGTAATATATTTAGACATATATTTCACAATAAATTGAATTAAAGCCTAGTTCCCATTGATTTTCCTATTGCAATTGTTTTGAAATTTGTATTTCCACGTTTCTAATTCTTGCAATATTATTAAATCAAGTCCTTACAAAATTTCGAAATAACTTTTTATATTTATTTTTTTATTTTTAGTTTTTATGTTAAGTAGCTATCTAGTATTTATCCATTATTGCTTATGCTTATCACTTCACTCTTTCTCGCTTCTCTCACTCATTCCTCTCTCAGTTCGTTTTATGCACTTGGCAACACTGCCGCCGCTTTTGTTTTGCTCCGCTGCTTCTTTGGCCGTTTTTTTTCTCTCATCTTTCGCTCGTTTTGCCCGAGAGCGAGAGAGAGCTGCCACATTCGCGGGATTTGGCATTGCGACTAGGTGGCAACCCAGGGGCGGTGGCAGCAGTAGCGGCGACACCAAAAGAGAATGTGCAAAATATGTGTGTGCGCGAGAGTGCGAACGAGACGAAAGTAAGGCATGCGTTTGCGTGAGAAGGAGTGCGACAAACGGAGAGAGAAAGAGCGAGCGAATGCAGCCGATTGTGTATGTGTGTAATGTTTTATCAAAAGCACAATGTAAAGACAATGAAAACCAACAAGGAACAAAAATACAACAAAAAAAAAGATGTTGAACAATTTAGGTTGAAATGAAAATGGCTACCTAACACAATTAGTTTTTTTTTTTTTCTTTTTTCTTTGCACTTTACTTTGCTTCACATATTTTTCATTCCTTTAACTTAGCTTTTTAAATTGTATTTTTATCAATTTTATTTTATTTTTTATTTGTATGTTCACAAAATGCCGTTCACCTTTTTTAAGCGCCGCATATTTTTCTGCACACACATACGTGGCCGCGTGCGCTGGTGTGTGTGTTTATGTGTGTATGTGTATATGTATAAATGTATGAGTGAGTGTATGTGTGTTTGGCTTTTCACATTCTATTACAGTTTTATCACATTTATTGCTTTTTCGGTTGATTTCTTTCGTAATTTTGCACTAATTTTCACATATTTGTTATTGTTAAGCAATCTTTTTGATATTTCACTATAAAATGAGATATATATATGTAAATATATACATATATTATAACCGTTTTATTCCGATTTTTTTGCAGTCGCTCTCATCGTGCGCGTGTGTGTTTGTAAAATGGTAAGCGGAGCGAAAGAAAGAAGAAGGTGCAAACACACAGAGGAAGAGACAGAGAGAGAGTGTAAGCAAGCAAGCAAAAGAAGAGTGGTGAGCGAGCGGCTCACTTTTAGTGAGAGCGTAAGAGGGCGAGAGCGGAACAACGAGTGAGAAGTGGGAGCAAGAGCAGAGCGAGTATAACTATTCGCTCATTTGCAAAAAAAAAATTAAATAAATAAATAAAATTGCAACGAAACCTAACGGCACCAAATAAATATAATAAATATTATTCTACTGTTTATTTTTTCGTAGATATACAAAATGTATTTTATTTAATTAGGTCGAATTTTATATTGAAACTAGAAATACAAATATTAAAAAATACAAGAAATTGCGCCAAGTTGTTGCTGACGTTCTGCCGGCGTCGCTGCCAGCGTTTCGCTGCAGCTTTTTTTTTTTCATTTTTCTGCCAGTCTCTATTCCACCGAACTTCCAATCCAAAACGGAATGGAAAGCAGCTGCTGGCAAAGAGAGAGAGAGAGAGAAAGAGAATGAGGCAGCCGGCGTCTTTGTCAATTCGCGAGCAACGACGCCGGCAGAGGGCGCCATTGGCGCAACTAACGCACAAGGGCAACAAAAACAGCACGGCCACCGAGTTGCCAGTTTTTTAATTACAAAAAAAAAGAGTAAAAACTAAACAAAAAATTGTTTGATTTTATATTAAATTATATTTTCATATGCATAATACTTGTAATCATAAACCACTTTTATTGTTCGCACTCTTTGGAACTAGAAGTGAAATTGCTAATAGCCAAGAAAGAAAAATCTCGTAAATTTCCAGTGGAGGGGGGATGAAAGTAGGACAGTATGCATTCCAATGGGCTGTTAATTGATTAACAAAAAAATGACTCATTAAATTCAGAATAATGTGCACAATAGAGTTTATTTAATATTTATTACGATAGAATACCAAATTGTTAGATATTTAAATATGTATTAAATTTGTTCCGGTGTACTTCCTTTTTTCCCTGGTTCCTACCCATTCCATCATGTCTCATCACCCTATTTCTTCTTCACCTTCTTTTCTCTTTGGACAACAGCTGTCGCATGATCGCTGTTTTTATTCTCTTCCCGCTGGAATCACTATTAAAGGAAAAGCAGACACAAGGAATGGAAAAGAAAAATCGAGGTGAAGGAAGAGTGTGTTGCCAAACATGGGCAAAGCATGAAAATTGTAACGGCCAGCGAAACACGAAAATTGGCAAACGACGAAAACTGTGAAAGCGAGAAGGGTGGGGGAGGGGCAGGGGGAGGGGAGAGAAGAAACCGAGTCGGGGATAGGGATAGGAAGAAAACGAGAGACGAACGAAAGGCCAGACAATGAAATGAGCTGATGATAACAAGCCGCCACCAAGTGAACGTACATATGTATGAACGGGGGTGTGGTAGGGGCAATAAGAGGAGCAAGAGCAAGAGCAAGAGCAGGAGGAAGAGTAAGAGGAATAGTGAGAAGCGCAAAACGAAAAGCGACAAACTACGACGGCGACGACGACGACGACGACTTAATTTTTGGGCCTTGCCTCACGTGCGCGTGAATGAGATAAATCTATGATGATGATTATGCTGCTGCTGCTGTTGCTGCTGCAGCAGTGCGAAAGGGAGAAGCAGAGCGAGGCAGCAGGCGAATGGTAGCGGGGCAGGAGGGAGACGGGCATGCGAAAAGAGCAGAGGAGCACTCACACACACAACACATACAATTGTTGTTGCTTGGAATTGAAATTCGGACCGAGATGGAATGAAATGGAATGGCATTATGGGCAGTGTGGCACGGGGCAATGTAGAGGCGCCGCCGTTGTGTGGGTGTGGCACTAAACCCAACGGAACTCGCATGCATTACGCATGCATTTCTTATTGAGAGGAAATCTGCGAGAGTGAGAGAACCTAGCGGGCGAGAGAGCCCCCATAAGAGATGGAACATTCCATTAGTGCTTGAAAAACCGTAGCAGTGCCCGTATTTATTTATTAAATTTTTTTTTTAATAATCCTGGAGCGAGCCGTTTTGTTGTTGTTTCTTGTTGGTGTCCAGCACTTACAGTGGGGACTTTATAAGCACAAATATATTGAGGAATCGTTCAAGTTATAAAAAAATCAAAAAAACAAGAATCTTAATTTAAAATTTTTCAGATTATGATATTTAAAAATATAATTTTTTTCATATATAATGAGAGCATATTTTAACAATTTTTTATATATTTTTATTTTTAATTTATTTAATATTCGGGTTTAAAAAGGCGTCTTCCGAGTTAAGGAAGCTTCACTGTCAAGTTGCAGCAAATAAAGGCGGACTTTCATGTTTATAAAAATCATTCAATTTTATATTTATTTTTATTTTGCTAATTTGGTTGATAACTCAATAACGTATGTAAATATGCAAGTACTTATGAAGATACTTATATATGTACATATGTTTAATTAACCATCTATGTTTGTGATTCTGTTTGTATGTGTGTGTGTGTGTGTGTTTATGAAACTTGTTTGCAAGAGACGTTGACTTCAAATCCAAGAGACAGAAATAAAGAAAAATCAAACAAAAACAAAAAGTTCAACGCGAGCTCCGACAAAAAAAAAAAGTAACGAACAAAACACACATCGAACCGCAACTTGGTTCGACGTCGCGTTGCCGCTGCCTCTGTCGGCGCTCGGTTTGCGCTGCTTTTGCCGCTGCTAACGCAGTTTAACAGTTCACCAGTGTTGCCTGGTTATGAGCGCATAAAATAAACTAGGAATAAAAAATTACCAGAAACCAGAAGCTTAAGTTAACAGCACAAAAATTTAGTATTTAGTAGTAGTCATTTTTATACTAACTAAAATAATCCAGATTCGCAACGGTACAATAAATAAATTATGAATGAAGAATATGAAAATATTTAATTTTCCACTTTCCAAGAAGCTAAATCTAGCCAGAAATAAGCTAAACTGGCAACACTGCAGTTCACGTCGATGAGTCAAGGTCGAGAGACGTCACGCAAATTTTCGTTTTCATTGCCTTTTGCCCACAGACAAATAAATACAGCAGCAGCAGCAGCACACACTCACATACATGCATGCAAGCACACGCTGTTTTATTTTTAGAAACGAATGCGAAGCCGAAGTGGAAACGAAGTTGACACGATAACGAATATGTGAGAGCGCGAGAGAGAGAGAAAACAAAGAGAGCGAACGCTAGAGAACCTTGCAACTACAACATCTGGTTCGCTTCGAAAAATGAATGAATAAAATATAAAACGGTTCATCTGCCGCTTCTCGTTGTTGTTGTTGCTTTAATTTTTAAGCAAACATACATACGTTTGTAAATATGTTTAATAATTTAAAACGTATAAAAACAGGAAATAAAATAAATAATAAAAAATTTAGAGACCCACAAATTTATATGCTTTACAATCGAACGATAAAACCGTTAAGCTAAATGTTATATTTAATTATATTTCAATCATTTATATTTTGTAATCTCCCAAAAATCTATTTGATTATTTCCTGTTAGTTTTTTTTTTTTTTTTACAAATTCAAGTGTTTTCGTATTCCCTTTTCTAATTCCCTAAATCTCCCTATTTTCACTTTTATTGTAGAGGCCTCTATATTTGTTCTCATTACCATCTCCAAATTGAATTTAATTTTACACGCTCTCTATGCTTCAATTTTTTTTTTTTTTTAATATCCATTGGGTTAACATTAACATTTTGTGTTATGTTGCTCAATTTCTGTTAAATATTTCTGACGTCGCGTCGCAGTCACCGCCGGCTGGGCGCACAGAACAAGCACTCTCCCGCTCTCACTCCGTTTGAAACTAGCACGTGCAGGCGAAACCGCTTAATGTAAACAGAGAGAGGAACAGAACAAAGGAAATAATAATAAAAAAAAAACACTCACGCTCTTCGTTAATTTGCGGCCGCTGCCAGCGTTGCGTTTGCTACCGTTGCTGGCGCTGCGACTGCGTTTGCGAGCGGCGGCAGCAGAGGCGCCGGCAGAGGCTAACATTATGTAGCCGCCGCTGTTGCTGCTGTTGTTGTTGTTGTTGTTGCAACTACTGCTGCTGCAGCTGTTGTTGCTGTTCGTTGCTGCCGTCGTCGTGGTGGTTATTGTTGTTGCACTACGTTTTCTCGGTATTTTTGGTTGCTGCTGTTGTCCAGCTATTTGCTGTGATATTTCTTGTTTTTGCAACTCTGTTGCAATTTGATAAATTTGCTGTTGTTTTTGTTGTATTATAGGAATTTGTTGAAATGGTTTCAATTCAGTTATTTGGTTTATAATTGTAGCTGTTGCTTCTTGTTGTTTGTTAAATATTTTTTGCGATATATTCCGAAATTCTTCTGGTATTTGTTGCAGCCTTGGTGGTAATGCCGATGGTATGTTTCGATGAATTTGTGGTATATGCTGCTGGCTTGTTTGTTGTATTTGCGGCGGTTCTTCTTCATCAATTCTCCACAGTGGATGTTGTTGGTGAATTCTATTTATTTCGATTTGTTGTCTTTGCCTTTGTATTTCTTGTATTTGCAGGCCTGGCTGCTGCATTTGTTGTTCGTGCATTACAAAAGCAAATGCAGCACAAAGAGGAGATGGCGTGCAAGACATAACATATTCGCTCTGAACTAGCGCTCTTTCTCCCTCTATCGCACTGTTAACAGAGAGGGCTTGAGGAACAGCTGACACACTTACACTTGCCGGCGAAAATCAGCTGCTCTCTCTCTTTCTCTCTCGGCCGGCGCTCTTTCGCTCTTCTCTTGCTTTGTATTTTCGCACTCACACTCACACATACATTGAATGATGCACAATAAAAAAATAAAATTAAAAAAACAAGTTTCGGCTTTTTTTTGCCGATTTCTTTTTGTAGGAAGTTGTGCGCGAATTTCAGCGACACGTCACGTTGCTCGCTCTTTAAGTTTAAGTTCGTAACTGAGAGCCAGTCGACTAAAATTGGCAAATCCAATCCACACACAAACACACAAGCACACGAATACAGATCACACAAGCACGAATGCGAATAAAACAAACTGAACGCGACTCAACGAATGTTCGATGGGTGTATTTTGCGGCCTTTTTTTTCTGGTTTCTTCTGGCCAGTACTTGTCCGTATGTCTGTGCACCACATTGCGTATGCGTATATGTATGTGTTTGTAATGTCTGCTAACCGAGTGAACTTAAATTGTGTTTAGCAACCGCCGCCGACAAAACCAAAACGAAACCGACACCAACGCCGTCTGCACACGAAATGCTCTGAGAGGGCGAGAGCCGACAGCTGCTCTCCTTGCTTGGCGGCTCGGCTCAGTGCTGCCAACTTTTGACCAACAAAAAAAGCTGTTTTTGACGGGAGAAGTGAAAAAAAAAGCTTAAAAAATTTATAAAAAAATTCAAAAAAAAAGCTGAAACAAATGTATAAAAAATAGAAAAAATTTCAAAAAATATAAAAATTTAATAAGTTCAGTTTTGTTTAAAAGATTTCCATAATTTGATCAATTTCTTCATGGTCTTCCTTATTTTCGTAAGACCTAATAGTTCCTATCATCTGCAGATATTTGATTGGCACTTCATAGTCGACGCAGCATTTCCCGACCCTTCGCAATCCGTTTCTGTATATTAAAATAAATATAATGAATATAAATAGAAATGAATATCTTTTGCTTACACTAGTATGCTTCTTTATTGCAGCGTGAGCTCGCAGATCACTGAGTTTAGCTGTAATAGTAGTCTTGCAATAGTTGCAATAAACCCTTTGCAGGTCTGTGTCATCCCTGCGAATCCATGCCTTAAATTCATCACTTTTAAGCCAGACATCGCGGCATTTTTGTTTATACTCCTTCGGCATTTTAGAACTTGCTAACAATTTACGCGCACTTTTTATATAGAGATGGAAAAACTAAGCGACTTATGAAATTAGCGTATATCTATTAAAACAATCGATACGTCGCTACATTATCTGGTTTGTTCGTAAAGCTAACTTTTTAGCTGCCACTTTTTCATATTTTGTACTTAAGTTTTAACAACACAAAAAAAAATCGGGAAAAAGCCAATTCAATTTCCAAAAAAGCCAGACTTCCCGCTTTTCACAATTCCCGCAATTCACAAATTTTTCCCGCAGTTAGCCTTAAAAAAAAGCCAGTTTTGACGGGAAAAAATCCAAATTGGCAGCACTGGCTCGGCTACAAACTGCTCCTCTCCGCCGCTCTCCTCATTTTCACTCCTTTCTCCTCTTTGTCTACCCCTCCACGCACTACACGCTTCGCGATGCTTCGCGTTTGTTCTTGTTGGCAAGGCCGACGACTGCGCTGCCTCTGCTCTGCTCGTGACTGCGACGTTAGAAAGCTTGCACATTTCCCACTGCATTCGGATTTTCTTACTGTGTTTATGCTGCTGCTGTTGCCTTACATTTGTTTCAATTTTCTAGAGGCTTTTTTTTTTTTTGTGTTAACGTTTAAAGATAAGTATCGCTACCGATAATTATTGTTTTCCCTTTTAAATCCCAAACTCTCCTCGATTTATAAAGAAAGATTTACCAAGAAAGATTTTCTTTCTATATTATATTTGTTTAACAATAAACAGTTGTTTTAATCTTAAAATCATTTAATATGCCAGTGTATGTATACGCGTTTGTTGACTATTTGTTTGACGGCTAGTGTAATGGTTTGAAGTGGGGAAAGAGATGGCACTAGGAGTGCGCATTTGTGTCGTTATTTTGCCGATTGTATGCAAGCTAACGGTTGTCTTGCCAATGACAGGCAATGGAGCAAGAGGGAATGGGAAAGGGAGAACGAATAATTACTAAGGCCACTCTACACTGACTGGCGCATACAATTTATTTGGGACGCTATAAACGAACTATTTTCAATTTAAATAATTATTAATAATAAAATCTTGGAAACAAAATGAAATTCAAGACGAAAATAAAATTGCTTACATATTTACATACATATGTATATGTATCTCTATACACAAAACAAAAGTCAATGGCTTGAAATATCGAGTAAACGTACTTTTGTATCTTTATATACTCACTTTTGCATATTTAGGATTTCGGTTTTCAACAACGGACATGAAAATCAATTAACTTCGGGTCTGCAATTTTCACTGGTCTTCTCGTATTTTGTTTTTTATTTTTTGTTTTTTATTTTTTGTTGTGTGTGTGTTTTTAACGGATGAGTTGAGTTTGAGTTGCACTTTTTTTGCGATTCGTAGTCGTCGATTTTTCCTCCATTTGATCTGTGCAACTTTCACCCGAAACAGGCCAACAACAAATGCAAGTGCCAAATGATTAACTTTTTCTACACACCGTCTCTACCTATTTTTTTGTTGTTGTTTTAGTTTTCGTTATTTTTATTTATTTAATTTTTTTTTGTTTTGCATACGGGAGAGTTAGTTAATGTGTTTGTGCGGACACATGTACGAATTGCTTTCCCAGGTCCCCGAAAAAAAAAACCAAAACCGAATGTCAGCTGACGTAATCGCGCAGCATAACAAATAACACAAAAAAATAAAATAAAATAAAAGATTCAATGTATAAAACAAAGTTTTGTGAATTGGGCGCGCGTGTGTCGCCGTCGTCAAGTTGAGTCAATCAACAAACACACACAACGCCCATATAATCGTCAGATGTGCAAACGGATCTACACAGTGGAGCATCGTTAGCGACGACCATGAGATATCGTATATCCATACCCTATCTCGGACTTTGCCATCTTTCGCAAAATGTAAACAAAGCACAAATGCGATTACATTTTAATTTTTTTCACATTACAGTCTCAATATTCGAGTTTCCACTGTAAATTATTGCATACATACACATAATTGTAAATTGTTAAGCAGTTGTCGCGCAATAAAAAATAAAAAAAAAACAGCAAATCAGAGACTAAAAAACAGCGACTAAGAGAGATGGAGACAGGGATAAGGATAGAGGAGAGAAAGAAAAGTACAAATAAGAAAAGAAAATATAAATATAAATACAAATACAACAAAAAGATATGCTATCGAAGATCTTAAATAGCAAAATCTAGAAATACATATCAACTGGGTCAGCCAAAGATAATGATTTTTATTTTCCAACGAAATTAAAATATAAAATACAAGATTCCCTAGTTATTTGTACATTTAATACACAATGCCAATAAGAAATATGCCCACCTAATTGGACTTTAATTCGTAACAGTTTCCTATAAGAAATTCTAAACAAATCACATAATCAATTAGAACAAAATAGGGCAAGAAGAAGAAAGAGAGAGAAAAGGAGAGGCAAAAGAACAAGGAGGAAGGAGGAGGGTAAACACAAAACTAATTAAAATGTATAAAGCTTTAAGAGAGATGGGGGGAAAAGCAAAACGTCTCAAACAGGCGACAGCTTTTGACGTTTATCGGCTTCTCTCTGTATGTCGTTTGTTTTTTGCCTGTGGTTGTTGTTTCCCTTTTGATAACGAACTGAGAGTAAAAGGCACACAACACAACACACGGGCGAGAAAAATAAAACAAGAGCCCCATGAAAACCACAGAGAACGAGAAACAACAAATTAACATGCTGCGAATGCTAAAACAAAACAATGGCAAAAAAACATTATAAAAAAAGAAGAAAAAAACAGAGGGAATGGGATGGCAAGAGGAAGAACAAGAGGTGCGAAAGAAGACGAGGAGAGAAACTGCAGCATAAGAAGCGAAGAGCAAAAGAGGAACCACCAACGACACAGTTAACTATGTTTTATGCTTTTAAATACAGGAGTTTTTGTGCAAATTTATGAATTTAAATTAAGAGATATGTAAAATTAATTAATTCAAAGTACTTTTTTTTCCTTCTTCACCTGAACATCATCAGAATCATTAATCGCTTACGTTTCGCACATAAACACTGCAAGTGTTGCCAACTTGTATAAATAGGTATTTAAATATAAATATATGTATGTACATAGGGGACATAAGTAGCCAATTTGTTTCTCTTCTTACATACATAATATACATTTGTAAAAGCTAATTGAAGGACAGAACAATAAACAATTTTCGCAATACAATATATTTACTCTTTAGGTTTTGTTTACTAAGAGGCACTTGAAGTACATCTGTAGATACTATTTCATTGTGGGAAAATACATTTTGCAACCTGATATAATAACACATTGACATTGTCATAATTTGATTGAAATCAAACTTTATTGATTTTTATCGAATTGCACCTGCTGACCAAATAAAAGCCAGATTTTGGCGGAAAAACAGCTTAGCGGGCAGCACCTTTACTCTCGCAAAGTCGCGAGACATTGACGGCGTCTGATTATGTTGAACAAAAAAAAATAAAAGGAAAAAAAACGGCCAGAATGACGACAAGAGATGGCGCGGGAGTGAGAGACCGCGAGCGAGGGGTGTTGCAGGAGAGTGAAAGAGAGCGACCCAGTCAGTGGAAAACAGAGACGACGACCCACGACAACAAAAAATGCAGCGAGTGACGACGAACGACGAGTTCGCTCTTCCTCTCTCGCCGCCACTCGTTCACACTTTGAAAACAGTTTAATTTACTATTTGAGCAAACGCAAAATGCAAAAACAATGAACACACTCACACTAGAAACAACAACAAAAAATCGGACGAAAGAGTGCCGTAATAAATAAAAATCAACTGACGCGATGTTTCGTCGTTTTCGCTTTGAGTTTTTACTTCTCTTTTGTTTTTTTTTTCCCCCGTTTTCTTTCCGTTCTTCGCTTTTGCGTTTTTTTTCTTTCTTTCTTTTTTTTTTGGTTTGCGCTTCGTTTCGGCTGCGCGTGTTTTTCGTTTCAGTTATTATTGAGACTAAAAATGCGGCGTGAGATTTGATTGTGAGTAAGCGCAACGCAAAGCGCAAATCGTCAAAGCGGCGACGCTGACAGCGACAGAGTCAGCGGACACAACAGCGACGTCAGCAGCGGCTCGCCTCTGCCAAATGAAATAGTAGTATAAATAAAATATAAATAAAAGGCAAACACGTTCAAAAGTAAAAGCAAAGAAATTGAAATGGATGAACACGGGGATCAGTTCAAAATTATCACATTTTCAGCAAGGAAAAATCAAAATAATTAAATGTAAATTCAATATTTCAATCTCGTATTGAGAATTATCGAGATTTTAACAGAGGTTTTGTTAAAAAGCAAAGAAGATGGAAACAGTCTATTAATCCAATCAAAAAGGATATTTGTTTCCTGTTCCCCTAAGCGTTGCCACCTAACTAAAAAAAAAGGTGACCATACTCGAATTCCTGCATGAA